TCGTCAGTCGTTCCTACAATTGTGGTCTCCTTGATTTTCATAGACTTTTCTCTCCTTCAGAAAGGCTGGGATATTTCTAGATTCCTATCGTTCCGTGTCAGCGCTACTCTATTGTGTAACTATTAAGAATCGTAGGTAATTTCAGGCTGATGAAACAAATGATATGAATCAAAAGCATGAAGAATGTGATGCAAATAGATATGTGTAGCATAACCTCAAAATAGAGCACTGACTCGGAATCGGAACAGTTGAAAACTATGAAAATCGAGGAGGCCATCAACGCGATCTAAAATATTGTACGAACGATTGACGATACGACCCTTAAGACTACATGACGAATTATACTTTTCAACATTGATAAACACAAAATACGATACCTTTATATCATGTTCAAGAAGAAAAAAAATTCCTCAAGAGAAAAATGGAGTCTGTTTTTATTGCTACTGCGATCCTAAATTGGCAACATGGCGGTAATGGTGGAACTTGTATGTGAATTTAGTTAGTTTATAAAAATAACTTACCTTTTTGTAGAAGACATAAGAGGATGAATCCATTTATTTCTCAATTCATAGCTGGAAAAATATAATAATAATAATAATAATAATAAAAGGCTTTAATTTTACCTGGCAGGTTACATCAGCACAAGCTGTTTTTCAGAACCAACCAGGGCTAAAAAAAATTCAAGTAAATGCAAATACACTGAAGATAATAAGAAAATTTGAAGCAGAAAAAAATTTTTTTTTACAGAATTGTAGCGTATGCATGGAATAATGAACAAAAGGCCAAAAGAGACACGTGCATCAACCGAGTACATAGCAGAATAAAAAACCATGCTTAGAAGTAAAAAAAAAAAATCGGTATATGGCAGAAGATATTAAAATTAAAAGTAAACAGCAATAGATTCGTAACCAAAACACAAACAAATGTAAAGTGACAAATGAGAAAACATGCACAAATAAACAAATATAAAAATAAAATTACATAAAAATACATGCATTTTCTTTTAAAGCTGCACACAAATAGAGTTTTCAAAGCTTGAGGTTCTTTGTTGTAGAAATCGGGCGCCTAATATATTTTAAAATGAAGGTAGATTCCTTTATGATACACTTATGGACATAAATGATCATTATAATTTTGACAGGGTTTTCACTAAGATGGCACTTAGTAATTACCTTATTGCTTGGTACATCCTCCAGTTAGTTATCGACCCACCATATTGGTTCCCCTTCAAAATATGGCAATAAACAGTACTTCCTAATATTTCCTCGTTCATTAGCAACCCTCTTACAAAGTCATCCTTAGTTTGAAAATCAAAATTGTCAGAGAAAAGTGGCAGCACAGATGCTGAACAAATCGCTATGTGGGTGTCTTTTAAGTTGTGCAGAAGTGATACTGAGGGGTTTTCTAAGAAAATTTCCTAAAAAATAAAGTCAATCTATATTCAAAAAGAATATCAAAGCTGGATACTCATAGATGATATACAGTATCTCAAAGTATTGTGGTCGTGGAGGTCCATATTTAATATCTACAAGATAAAAAGAGAGAGAAATATATATGTGACAGTGACAGCGCAAATGAAGTGTGCTTGACAGCAGGCACGAGTTTGTTTATGCTTCATTCGCACTCTTCTTCGAACATACTTGTTTCTCTCTCTATCTTGCTCATACACATCAAATAATGGACCTCAGTGATTATCTGCCAATACTGTAGACGTCTGTGGATAAAAAAAATAATTGATGCTTCCCTCCAAGGAAGATTCACAGTAAATACCAGGTAGAATCAATCAGGAAGAAATAAAGTTGAGAAAAGTGATATGAGGATATATTTCATATCAACAGCATTCTGTGTCAACCCAGCAATAAAATGAAATCTTACCAAAGGAAAAGCAATTTTTCTATCTTTAGTTTTCCCAAGTTTCTTGTGAAACAGCACTCTGTTATTAGAATTTGCAGCCACTAAAAGTTCTTCATGGGGACATCTGCCAATACCACCTATTCCACTTTCTTGAAGAATCAAGGTCATAGCAGCACCCTTATCATTTTTAGTAATATTACTGAAAATAGTCTCGTAAGAAGGGTTAATGAATAAAATCAGACAAAACCATACTTATGCTTCCTTAACAGAGGCAGTAGTTGAACATTTGACACAGTTCCAGGTTCTAATAACACAAATTCTCCACGCAAAAGCCCCTTTGCATCCAAGTCCCTTAAGCAGTCTCCGAAAGATCTACATGATTCAGAAACTATTACATTTACCTTCATTGTTAAGGTCCAGCCTTCTCCATTTTTGATACACTTGCTAAAATGACAAATGAAATAAAATAAATAATGTCTTCTCAATGTGTACCAAAATAGAATCGAACAAGTAATAATTGAATTGTCTGCGAGTTTGAGAGTGTTATACAATTTTTTATCTAATAAGAGAGCTCATTGATTTGGGGCTCCCAAGATGTAGAACCCATACTTGATATGTCTTTTAACAGCATCGACATGCGTGCAGCAAAACAGAAATGTCTCTTCTATGCCTCCAAGAGAAAGAAATTCCAGTGTGTAGTCTATTAAGGGCCTATTAAGAACAGGTAGAAGAGCCTAAAAGAAGAAACCCTTTGATATTACATCATACATATCCTAAGGTAGATTTTACATGGGGCATCTCTTCAGAAATGGGCAAAAATTCATCATCAAAGGTATCTGCAACAACAATCGCTTGCACTGCATTTTCTTTGTGAACGATCTGCCCAGCTTTTTGAAACATGTTTTCAAAAATTCTACTATTTGTTTTGGCAAAAACAGATGGTTAAAAACACTTTAAAGTTTAAAAATTAGGTTAAGTTTGCAACGCCAAAGCTACCCGCTAGTGATGGGCAAAAAGTATCTATCCGATACAAAAGATCCGATACTTTCCGAAGTCAGAAGTATCCGATACTTTTTAATAAATATATCGAATACTGTAATAAATACTGACAATCTGACTATTTATACATACTGTAGTGTAGTCAGACAGTCAGAGAATGACAGAAAAATAATGTACGGTTATGGCCAAATAATTTTCAGCAGCTGTGGATGTAAAAGTATCTGTCGTAATCGTCAAATACTCCGTATTTTTTAGTAAATTCTTTACTTTCTGAACAACCTCGTCATATGTTTGGTGCAACAAGCTGTTGCTTAAAGTTTTTCTTGAAGGAAGTTTATAAGCAGGATCAAACTCTTCTAACAATTCTCTGAACCCTTCATTTTCAACAATAAATGCAGGTTCTTAGTACGAGGAATAGACATTGGCCGCGTAGCAAAAGTCGATATTTTAGATTGTTTTGATGAGGGAAAAGACATTCGTCTTTTGCCCTTATCAATTTTTTTTCTGAAGTGTAGAAGAAGTTGATGGTCCGGGTATTTCCTCCAACTCCGCAGATGTTCTTAAAGACGAAGGAGACGGAAGATCTTGCGTTATTACCGCAAAATGCTTCGCCTTCAAATGTTTCCTCAAATTGCAGGTTGCATCGCCTCTATAGGATAAGACATTTTTACAAATGTCACACTTTGCTTTATTTGAATCAATTGCATTGAAATACAACCAAACACCACTTCTTCTTTTATGACTCATATTTTATTATATTTTGAAAAAGAGAATATATTATATAATACACTAAGCACTTCTAAACTTATGTAAATATGTAAGCTATACTATTTGATATGACATAACCCAGCAGTTCTTCTCAACGCAACGTCGAGGCTGACACGTGGGATTCCCAGAACTCAAAAGGATGTTGATGTCTACCGTCACGTTTATGTAGATGTCGACATCGATATTCGATATAGATTCGATCTTAGGTATTGGGAACCGAAAGGATAAAAAACTAAGGCAGTTTTACGAGATTGGTAATTTAAATACGATTTTTGGGTTGTTGCACGTTCCGGTTGTCAATTGGGGGAACTTTTGGGAATTAAAGTGTTTCATTTTGATTTCTAACACTTAACTGAAGCAAAAGGCTGAAATTAATTTCTGGTTACAAAAGCCCAGAATTTATATTTCATTTTTAACCAATATTGTAACAATAACAAATATAGCAATGTAATTTAAAATTCAGGGTATCGCTCATCACTACTCATCAGTCATTTCCAATTTCTAGTCTATTCTCGATGATACCTACTTATAGGAGAATTCGAAGGTCGGGGCCTGGATCAGCGACATAAAAACACGAACAGGATTATTATTATTTATTATTATTATTTCACAATAGCAGTATTAAATTAACGGATACTAACGGCAATTAATCGAGCCGATACTTGGTATCGGTATTGGATACTCAGCATGGGATACTTACAGATAAAGTATCGGTATCTATTCGATACTTGCAAAAGTATTGATTAGTCATCACTACTACCCGCGCCACCTTTTGCGCATAAAGCGCCATCTTATGAGTACTGACTATAATTACGCTACGCGCCATCTCTGGAGTATTGTATAAATTACACGAGGCGCCATCTTGTGATGAATAACGTAAGCTATATAAAGCGCTACGTCTTGCGCTAACGCTCAACTTTTATAAAGAGGCATCTTATGGGTAGTAACGAAATGTACGCTACGCGCCTGCTCTGGAGTAGTGTTTCAAATTACATGAAGCGCCATCTCATGAGCATTGTTTTAAGCTATATGAAGCGGCATCTCTTGAGCAAAGGCTTAAATACTTTAAGACGATTCTTATGTTTTCTATATTTATTTGTTACACGAAAGAGGCCCGATAAGAACTTAGCCTACAAACATTTTGAAAAAGTGCCGATTTATTCCTCAGCATAGGACATGGTCTTTTAAGATGCCTACTGTCTCAGCTATCTCGTACACCATCAATAGGCGGTCTGCCAATACGACATCATGGATTTTTGTCACATTATTCTCCGTGGTAGCCGTTTTCGGGCCACCTGGGCGTCATCAAAAACCAACGTGCGACCACGTTGAAACTCATTTTTTTACGGTCGCCATCGAACGAGAAAAGTCACCGTACAGCATCCAAGGGCTCTTTGATTTCGCTGCGCGATTTCCCTTCCAAATACACGAATCGAATCTTCGACCGATATGGCTTTTTTCATTTTTCTAAAATCCGCGGACACATATGGTTGGTTGGACGATTGGAAAATAGAAAACAGGAGCCACAGTTTCCGACACCCTAATCAATTGTGACAAATGTGTCAAAACGACGTATCCTCCTGTCAAAATGGCATGAGTGACATGAATTTCGGCCAAACATAACCGCCACAAAATTAAGAATGTCCAAACCTCGGAATCAAACTGTGATCATCCCTGCAGATCAAGTCGTACCTGACGAAGCTCTAGTCATAGAAATACCCAAAACGTTGAGGAACAAGCCGGTCGTTATAGCCCGAGCAAAAGAGGGATCCCAGGTCAGTGTTTTCCACTGATTTCATGGTACAGAGGTATTTGTTATAATCAGTAGGTTATTTCGAAGGCAAAGCCAGAAGTCGGAAGTCGATCTTGTCGATTCGAACATTGAACTTGCTAGGCTCAGGAGGAAGATTCTCGGTACCACAGAAATAAAGGATCGCGGTTTTGCAGAGCTAAAAGTAGAATGAGTAACAGAATAAGCTTGTAGATAAGACCATGATGCCATACGTTATCGAATGCTCTTGCGATATCTGGCGACCACTACTCTGACTCCGAGTAAATCCGCAAGTGACCGTCTCAACCAGTCTGATTGTCTGCAGCTCAGTAGTATTCTTTGCGGAAGCCGGACTGTTCCTGTAGAATGATTTCTCCCTCCACAAGAAAATCCTGCAATCGCTCAAGAATGAGTCTCATGGAGTTTACAACGAATAGATAATAAACTGGTCGTGCAATATTCGCCTGGATTCGCGGTCATCCCTTACTTCGGTATCATTATTACATGTGCAAGCTTCCAATCACGAGGCAAGCCAACTATATATATTAGCATATAGCTACAACGCCATCTGCGAGACACTAACCTTTTCAACATAGATTTCTACTTATTGCGGAAAGGAGAACTATAGCTGTGATATATTTTTATAGATGGCGCTACATTATCTCATTTCACCTCGGATAATTTTCAGAGGCAAATATAGCTTAAGAGGTCGGCAATCTTCTTTATCAACGATGAAAGAACTGAAAATTCAGAAGCAGATTCTGCATACTTTCTTACAGACGAGAAATTGTTGCGATGCCACCGACTACTCCATGTTCCTGAGCAACGTCCAGAGCTCAAAATCGGCACCTGGGATCATGGCTGGAGGTGTTTACGTTAGTTCTTACTCGCAGCACGAAGATCAGTCAATATCCCGACCTCATCCTGGAACACCTCCTTCACATCAAATGCCTACTTACTCGCAGACTATAGCAGGTTCAGACAGGCAGTGCGGGAATTTGACGGCGAATATCTTCATGCAGACACCGAAAAAGCAGACTGCTGCTATCACTACTTCTACGGAGTCTTTTGGTGAATTCAACAAATCGTGAGTAATAGTATCTACCTTCGGTCCTGGTATTGTACTGGTATGATACGATAAGAACTAGTCACATCTGTCGTATCTTCATGCTAAACAGCAAACTCGGCAAGTTTGCAAAACACGTAAAGCTAGTTTTTAACATTCCATATCAGAACGTGGTATAACCAAAACTTTGCGGTCGTCTCTTGGACTATTAGTGGTTTACAAACAAAAACTGCGATACGTGTCGTTGGCTTGGCGGTTCGCTCACAGGTCGCGCTGCATTCACCGAAGCGGTGTTGCCAAACTGCCATAAAATATTTATAAAACGCCACATTTATACTAAACTGAAGGGGATTCAGCTCTTTTCACGGTTTTTGGTGGTTACGTCAAAAATTCATACGAAATGAACGTATCGTCCTAAGGTCAGGCTGTCTAGATAACTGGCGACCATGTCAAATATACCGACGATTGGTCAAATGAGCAAGTTAAGGATAGCAAGCTTTTGAATATCCTAGCTAACGTACTTCTTTTGTAACAAAATTAAGTTGTGTGGTATTCCGCGTAGGGCCTTGATAGATAAATAGCTTACAGGTTTTGACAATAGCTTCTCTCGCGTGAAGTATGCTTTATAACTTTATTGGATGAAAAATATGTTTCGTAAGCTGCAACTGGATAATTGAACGAATAAAATCAACTTTGAATAAAATTACATTCCCTACAGGTGATGGTCAATGAATTCATCCAAAAAGGATTATCTATCTGGCAACGCCGCATTTATTTCCGCCTAAATGAGAACAGCCGTGATCAGACGCCATCAGCTGTTTTGTGGACGCCATGTTTTTGGAGTCATCTTTTATTTCTCTCTCGTTTTGTTCTCCATGTCTAACTGTGTTCTCTTTATATAACTACAATTTGCTTTTACGTCTGTAGAGGGAGGAGGCCTTCTAGATTATCTACTCAGTGAATAATATTCATATAGACGAAACGAATTAGCTAAAAAGGTAATGTAGAAAGCACTATATAGGCATCCAACTCAAAACTATCTAAAACTGTAATGAATCATCGATGTTCACGTGAACATCACTTAACTACCAGTAGTCGGCTGTTCATAGGCGGGGTATAAATGTTTAACATGGGTGAACTAGATTTGTCACATGCTTAATAAAGAGTGGTTTGAAACATATTGTAAGTCAAAAATTTGGGAATTACCTTTATTCATCGTCGCTTCCACTTACATCTGACAGTAATAAACTGTCGCTATCGCTTTCCTCGTTGAAATTGACCATAACTGGCATTTGGGGTATAATTTCATTTTCCTTGATCGCTGCATCTACAGCCTTGAGGGTTGGTATCTCATTCCTAAAGAAGAATGAATGTACGGTTCGCCTTAACGCCATTTTGCTATTGTCATCCAATTTAACGGCCTTTCGTCCCTTCAAATTAAACTTTGGATCAGTAGTAGCTCCAGTTTTCTTCTTTTCATGCACCACCCTGCGAATGGTCCACTCTGGAACGCCTGTCATACTTTCACAACGCGCGAGTGCATCTCCCTGCGACATAGTTCTGTTCAGATAATTGAACACGTTGAGCACGATTTCTTTCGCGTCCCTCTTCAGTGCTTTACGAAGCCGTCTACTTGTTCCCTGGCTTTCAGTACTTCCACTCGTGCCATTTGTACTCTCCATGGTTAAGTATAACCAAAACAGAAACCACAACAATAACAATCACACAACAATTCTTATAAAACACACAATATGCGATCGCTCAACGAAACACGTTCCAATGCGTTGCCGACGCCTATGAGTCTGCCGGTCGAGGCGCGTCTTTGATTTCATTGGTTCTACCGGCGGAGAACAATCATCCATTATTTCCATCTCTGTCTGTGCTGTTGACGACCGCAAAGCCACAGAAACGACATATGTCGTACGCTATACGGCTGTACTGGAAGGAAGCCTGGATCGAGCTCTGATCACGTGTTGATCACGCGTATGAGTCATTACAGTTTTAAATAGTTGTAGTATACTCCCAATATGTTGAATACATTTGACTCGGAAATTAGACAATATAATAACGAATTCTGGAGATTGACCTAGAACATATTTTTGCCATTTTTGCATAAACTACTACCAAGGTGAACCTTCCATTTTACAGAATGATAATGGACAGGGACAGTGATGATGAAGACAACAAAGTCAAAACGAAGGGAAAGACGAAAGAGAAAGATGTGCAAATATCGCCTCCAACTGCGAGTGAGTAAGTGAAGCGAAAATAATTTAGCTCAGAGGCGAACACCTTAGAATCTACCTTTTGCAAAGTCCAAATAATAGTACCTTGTATGCCTAGTTTGGAAAGAGAGAACGATTATTGGGCGAGCACTAATAATTGTCTTCTGAAACGAGATTGTGTATAGAATGTTTTCACTACTTACACTACGAGAGACACTAGAAGAAGAATCTAGCTAGCTATGAAAAAACAATTGAACCAGGCAACCAAAGTAAAAATGTCAAATAGTGGCCATGTGTTCTAACCTTACTTGGTTTTTTTACAAAAAGATATCTAGTTGTCTGGTGACAAACTGACAAACTCAAATTAATGAATATAACAGAGAACATACAACCAATTTGGTGTGATCAAGAGTGTATTCAAAGGGAGTACGGTAGAAAAATGTTTTCCTCCTGTTAACGTTGAAAGCCGATTTGCAACATTATTCCGATTATTGTGGTATTTAAGGACACTGCAAGAGGAGATACACTAAACATCAATTATTTCTCAATCGGTTTCAAATATTTCGAAATGTACGTTTTAGTTTTAAATGGTTTTAAATACCATTATTATTTTCCTAGATTTTTTTGTATTCATCATTCACCTTGACAGAGAAACGTAACCTGTCAACAGAGCATTGCGGTCTATAATGGTGATTTTTTTTTTGATTAGTAGTGTAAAAAGAACTTCAAGAATAGATATACGATGACTTCTAATCTAAGGTGGACCTTATCCCACAAATTTCTGTTGAACCGTTATTATTTGTGACTTTAAGCGAGGCTCAAATGCCAAAAAGCTCTTTTTGCAGCAGAACTCATGATGAAAAACACAAATCTGTCATAAATGAATATTTCACACACATCAAATATTAGGAATTCTGACAGCAGAAAAGTAGAGTTCACTTGATGCGCTGGGATCATTATTTCAAAAGCAGGAGTTCCTGAAAATATATCTACATCTAACGTTTAGCTAACCACCATTCAAGTTGCGATGGTGCAACATAAATTCAACCTAAGGTGTACCTTAAAGATAAGCTACACTTTGACAGCTTTCTCAAAACAATATTTTGGTTTATATTCCATCCAGGTTCTTAGCATAAGCTATAAAAATTATAATTTGGTTCTTTCAGTAAGTTTTTCGAAAATCTGACGAAAGCAATTTTCACAAGTCCGAAACCTGATGACTATCAGACACTCTGCATGAAATGCTGTGAACAGGAACAGTGAGTATAAATTGAAATCCTGTAGATATTTCGGTAAAGAATGATTAAAAAAATGTTTGATGGAACTCCCTGTAAAATTGGGGCAGAGCACATGTAGAATAACCTGGATTTCAAAAGATCAAAACTCAACTTTTTTGAAGATAGCAAATTTGGCACATGAAAAGACCAGTTATGCCATAAATCATAAAATGCTGTGCAGTTTTTGTTTCTGTAAACAGTTCTATAACTCTGCTGAATAGAATTGTTATCCAAAATATGGATAACTTGTATAACTTTTATATTTATTACTGCTGTGTTTTCATCACTGTGACACAATTTCGCTCTGAATAATGACATCAGAGCTTTGCTAATTATACAGTAACATTATTTAAAGTTTTCTTATTGACGTCAACCTGTTTGTCTTCTAATACTAACCTCACTTCTCGAACTTTATTGATATTCGTGTGTTTGGCGACTTTTCTCTCTCCTTTTGTTCTTCTAGGAACGCACCCCCATCAATTCCGAGAAGCCCATCACCACCTGCACTGATATCTAGTACTCTTACGGACGACTGCGGGAGATATTGCTCCAAAGAAAGGTAACCAGTCAGTCGTGACCAAGATACTTGATCAATAACAAGTAGTTTTTATTTATTTATTAAATAGGTTAGAACCACCACCAGCACCAATATGTCCTCCGCGACCCTCAGCCGTCCCTTACAAGCCCTCAGTTCCAAACACTTCGCTAGCAGATTCTAGCAAAGTTCATTGCAGCAAGTGCTGCGCGTTAGCCGCTGGAAATCTGTAAGTTTTAATGACAATTGAACGCTATTAGAGAGTTTTTAATGCAACAAAGATGATTAATTAGTAAGCATTTCGCAAGGTTATTACGTAAAAAACTATATAAGAAAAGCGACAAAATGTCATTACTTAATAACTAGATACCTCCTGAGCGTCACCAATAGTGCCATCTATGGAGGAAGGACACAATACCAGCATGCATTGATGGTTGCAGAATGCGGAAATACTCTGTAGAGTATATTTCTGAGGACATGTAACGTTACATAATGTCACCAAAAACCTATATAATGTAAAAATAATGTCATTTTTCGTTTAAGTAATACCCTATCGGGTTCATTATTTTTGAAAGCGACAGCAAAGCATGGTTTGGAAAACAAGGCTTTTTTATGACTACTAAAGTAAACCGTAGTAATTTGACAGTATTGACTACTGATAGTCATGACAGGTTGCTTACTTTTTCTATTTCAGAATCTTGTTATATTTTTTGATAGACAAGTTTCGTTATATTTGTGTCCAAACGGAGAGAAAATTAATAGCTTCAGGACCATACAACCACATAATGACAAGTGACCCCAGAACCAGCACAAGTACCATAAAAGGCTACCTTGCTACATTGCATATACACCAAGCCATCTAAGGTCATTTGCAGGTCAAGTGAATATTTTCAAGTAGGAGCTCCCTTTTTCACATCGAAATTGGACAAAGGAGCAAATTTTACGTTATGACATTACTCTGTCCATGACCTTGACCGTTGTCTTCAAGGTCATTTCAAGATCAATTCAGGACATCGAAAACAATTTGCTAACGCAAAAATGTTCGACAGCACAGTTGTGAGGTTTTTGGGGATCACCCAAAGGTGACCATGGCCCTCAAGGTGAAGTCAAAATTTTCAAAGGAAACCAATCATTTTTATGCTGAAAATGGAAAAAGCAGGATATTTTACGTCCTGAGCGACCTTGAGCTCAAATAACGTTCAATTTCTGAATATTTGAGAGCATACCAATTAGTTTATACTTGCTTCATTGTTCAAAAAGAACACCCAGTAATACTGAGTGTATTACAACAATTTTTTGTGTACATGTGTCTCAGGATTAGGTAAGTGATAGATCAAAATTTCAGAAAAATCGACTGTTGAAAAAATGTAAAATACTAATAATGCGTTGGGCCTCCTCGATGTCTGATTATGCACTCAGAAACGGGGCATACTCCTAACTAGAAGATCGATTTCCTGCTACTTGACGTCGTGCCGAAGAGCCGTAGAGTTTGTGGAAGATGAGGTAAACGTAGTAATCTTCTTCCCGTAATGTCCCAGCCGTTTTCAATGGGTGTAAGATCAGGAGATCTAGGGGGGCACGGTAACAAATCGACTTGATTGTCTTCAAAACGGGCCAATGCAATTCTGGCTATTGATGACCTCGTCTTTCACCACGCCGCCTTTTCACCCTTGCACGACCATCATCCATCCCCAAACAAAATCTGGACTCATCACTGAAGACGAAGGTACTCGATATGTGTGAAAGAAAATTAATCATTACTGAGTGTTCTTTTTTCTGCCACTTAGTATACTGTACCAAAAAAAAATTCTATTTCAGGAAATACCCAGGAATGTTCAAGGTTGTCAAATTTGTCATGTTTCAATGTACAATTTGTATTCTTTTCAGCCCTCTGACTACTGGACATTTTAAATGTATACCATCCAGTTCACATCATCGTCCTCCCAAGGATGACGCGTAAGTGCAGAACTTTTGCAGTAGTTTCAAAGCTTTCGAAATTTTGAACATTCTTAGTACCTTTGGCGTTTTGTAAATTTCTTCTTCCCAAAATTTTTATGTCGTCTTGATCGTCTTCAATCCCGAGACATCAAGAATTTTTGATAAACGAAAAGCATCACAAGGAATGTCGAATAGAACTCCACTGTCTGGAGAATCAAACAGATATACAGGGTGACTTCGAAGTTGAGTCATTTAGTTTAACAGTGAGTAGATCTGATCAAATGAAATGTTTTTTTCCTTTAACATTTTTGTGGTAAAATTAAAGTAATAAAGTTATAGCCCTTTAGAAGTTTGAGTACCGCCCTGTCTTAATAATAATATTATGTGCTCGTCTTTGGGAACAACGTATATAATCCGCCTTCATCGCATCGGAAACAAAAAAGCGAAAGAATTTGAAACGCTGATCACGATGTTTTTATTCAGTCTATGTGTCAGTCGGTAACGCGTGAGTGAATAGTGGTGTTTGCTGCGTGGCTCAAACGAAATAAAAAATGGCACATGTTTACAAAATGCTGCCGCGGCATCACGGATTTATGCGGATCGGTTTCCCAATCGAGTGCAACCAACCCCTCGTGCCTTTGTTAATGTAGTACAACGGGCTCGTGAATCAGGTGACCTAAGACCTCACAGTGGAGGGCATGCCGGTGCTCCAAGACCTCACGATCAAATACAGGTCCGCACTGAAATACTTGTCGGGAGGATACTTTATAAAACAAGGTAAACATTTTTTTTAATTTTTTTTTATTTTTATACACATATTTTGATTTAACTTCCTTCTACAATCATTATCTGAAAATTAATGACTCAACTTCAAAGTCACCCTGTATATTCCATCCGTCTCAAAAGATCAATGAGTTAAGGCAATTGAAGATTGACCAGCTTTTTATATCATCTGCTCTCTTAGTCCAAAGAATTAGATATTATTTATCTTCTAAAAAGGCTTATACTACGAAGTGATCTTAATACCAAAGATCTTAGGCATAACTTCGACTTCAACATACCTAGTTTGCTATACATAGGCTTGTACTCGTGCAGCTCATTTTATCTTTAAGCCTCACCCACCTTGTTAATTTAATATTAATAATTTCTTTAAGTGTATGTTAATGAGTCCCGACTGGATGAGTCAATAAAGGCATTATCATAGACGTTTTGATTTATATTTATTGTACGATATTTGAGCAACAACGATGGCCTTATATGTGGTTTGATTCTGCCGGACATTGGAGTCGTATTAACATGAAAACCACAAGATACATTTCAGTAGTTACATTAAAAAATGACAGCTTGGCCACTTGCACACATTATCTTCCAACAGACCAAGTCTTCTGACAGTGGAGGAGCTGGAACGTATAAAGACGAAGTTCCTAGAGGCCAAGATCAAGCTCAGCAACCTCATCAAATGTACCACACCACGCCAGGCTCAGTCAGCCAATCCAATAGGATGTTCTGGAGGACAAAGCTTCAAAAATGTTGCCACTCCTGTGTCGTCCGATACAAGCGGACCTTGCCCGATTTGTCAAGATGCTGTGCAGGGGCCATCGCAACATATTTGTCGCAGATAAAATAAAGTCAACTACGCTGTAAGAAATTGATTATAAATGTGATATGTTAAACTTAAAAATAAAGTTAGATACAGAATCGTAAGTATAAATACAAAGAAAGAAGGCTTGTTGAGAATATTTTATCTAGATATTTGTTACAAGATTATAACTACATGTTTGCATCAGGGTTGCTGAACCTACCGATGTTTTGGTGATTTTACCGAAATGAGACCTTATTCACCGAAATACAGAGCACGTCTCATTTTTCACGATTTTGTAAAATAACAATTGACTATACCCCATTCGTAGTCTATTTACGCCCCGGCACAATAAAGATGCAGAGCGGCAAAGCGGCAGCCGCCTAAACGTTGCAACAGTTATTGGTCAGGATTCGACAGGATAGAACTCAGGTTCGGGGTGTCGCGGGCAGTTGCTGTTCATATTCTGTGTTTATACTTTAGCATGCCGCGGTGTTCCGGCATTTAGGCTTCTGCCTGCGCGGCTGTTTCGATATAAAAAAAAAATGTCGTCTACGGATACAGCAGATAAAACTAAATATTTCACCCACTGCTTCCTTCAGCTATGCTTCCTCTTCAGTGACGTCTCCTCCCCGAAAACGTGACAAGAAGGGACATTTGAATATTCAGACGAAAGGAATTATCCTTAACGTTTATAAGAGCGACATTTTAGAACATCCTGAAATGAAAATTCATGATATTGATAGACGTGTGGTGGTCAAAACAGGCTTATGTCCTAAGACAATGTTCAACATTGTTAAAGAATATAAAAAAAAGTTGTCTCCACCACACAACAGGCTGCATTCCACACTAGAAAAACTTCCCACAATGACCACAAGAAAGGCAGAAATTCGACAATGGCTCCTATCGAAAGACATTGGTTTCAATGGAAATATGGTCAAAGCAGAGCTTATCCATCTAGTCAGGCAGTACAAATATAAATATAATCTTAATGTTATTGACGAAATGGCTAAAAACCAAAATAAGACCGTAAGATACACTACACTTAGACGCATTAAGAAATAAATTATTCTCGTCAATCTTAAAAAGCTTAAATATTCAACACCTTGTGAAGTTAGCCTCGTCTGTTCGGTGTCGACGTTGAAAAGCATGCAAAGTCCAACCGGATTCTGAGCAGGGCCTCGGTCTCCTTGATACCATCTGATAAATAATATCCGAAATAGGGCATCAGTTATTTTTGTTCTGCAGAGTTTGTACTTGAAACGATAAAGTATATATACGAGCCCCTTCACACTTCAGTTGGCCCAACTATTGAAACCTTAGTTTTTTTCTTATCAAATACAAATAATAAAAATGTAGCAGGGTGTTATAGGTTTAGAATATTAACAATAAATATTTTTATAATATATAGTAGAAAACACTTTATCACTCCCTAATAAAATAACACATGTTGCAATTACAGCATATCAACCTATTTTCATTTCAATGCAAAATAAGTGTATAACGCATAGGTGGCTGTGAAAAATAAAAGCCGTGACAATTGTTTTTATTAATCACAGCTTTCAGAATACGTTTAAAATAGTGTTGGGTAGTTAAGGTTTTCAGAATGGGTAGAGGAAAGGTTATTAGTGAGAAAATTCGTTTTCTGATAATTAATTTTTTTAATTCTGAGAAATCAAAGTCAGAAATTGCAACTTTGTTAGAATTATCGCGGTGAGAAATATTGTTAGAAGATATAACGTACTTAACTGGTTCAGTTAATATTAAGCCACGATATGTGAAAAAAGACCAAAGAGCATTAAGAAGAATAATCGCGAAAAACAGGCGTGCCAATTATTTACAATTAAGTGGTCTGTGGAGTGACGCTGTTGGAAAGAGAATTTCGAGGTCCACAACTCATAGAGAGGCCCACAAACTGGGATTTAGCACTTGCAATGTAAGTTTTCTTATAAAAAAAAGTGAAGTAAAAACCTAAAGTTGCACAACTTGTTTATAGGCCAAAGAAAAACCACAATTAACTTCACTGCAAAAGAAAAATCGGCTTAGATGGGCTAAAGAACATAGACAATGGACACCTCAACAATGGTGTGCAATACAATGGAGTGATGAGGCCCGATTCGAAGTTTGTGTTGGTGACAGTCGCAGTAGAGTTATTCGCAAAAAAAATGAAGCATTCCATGTTGACTGTCTGAAGAGAAAAGTGAAATTTCCAACATCCATTATGGTCTTGGGCAGTATTTCATCAAAAGGAGTAGGAAAACTTCGTTTTATTGACAGAAATGTGGATACAAACATTTGGCAATTTAAGCAGAATCGCTTTTACCGGTGATGGAAGAATGTTTGACATCCGGCCAAGATTTTGCGTTTCAGCAACATGGTGCAGCGTGCCATACCTCAAAAAAGGCTATAAAATGGATGGAAGAAAATAATGTACCACTTTTGAAATGGGTTTCTAGCAGTCCAGATCTGTCACCTATTGAAACATTGTGGCACGAGATGAAAAGGTTCTACGACAACATCCTGCTCGTACAATCACCGAACTGAGACAAAAGCTTCAAGAAATATGGGATTGTTTTACACCAAATTTTTGCCAAGACTTGGTCAACACTATGCCCCAAAGAATTTCAGCCGTAATTTATTTATATACAGTTTGGGGTGTTAACAGGTAAACCCAACACACACCCTCAGTGAACTAAAACTAAACTTACAAATATCGTATACATATAGATATATTACATTATTGAATACTTCAATATTAATATTTTTTTTATCTTCCGATATTGTTGTAACAACATAAACTGAGTGAGTAGTTCTAATTATAAGCAATAAACTATTAATTTAACTTTTTTAATAAAAGGAGTATACATAATTTAGCATTTACTTACGTTTAATTAAAGCTGAAATCAAAATTAAATTGAAATTATACCAGAAATGATATTGGAGGTAATAACTTGAGTTATGTAAAAAAATAAAACATTTCTATTTTAGTCTGCCATGGAGCTGCAATACTCATACTTTAAAGCCTTTTTCAGGAAGGTCACGCTAATGTTAAATAAATCTATATTACAGAAATTATTATGATTTTTTTGAGCCCTGGCCAAAGGAGAATTAAGACCAAGATTAGTTCTTCGGAACGGTATTCTAAACAGATGATAGGTTCTAAACGTTCTATCAGGAGTGTTAAAGTTCAAGTTTGCCAAAAGATCCGGACAGTCAGTGAGGCGATTCAACAATTTATGAACACAGCAAATGTCAGAAATCGTTCTTCTATCTTTTAAGGAAATCATATTGAACTGTTTCATAATTTGCGTATAATAAAAAATAAAGGTGATGTTACCCAATGGTAATCTTTCAATTGTTGCTTTGTTAACTTCGCGCATTTATTCGCACATTGTTTATTTGTTCAGATGTTCTATTAGGTATAGGTCTAAGTGATTTCAAATATGAATTTTTTACGACTAGAGTGTATCTAAAATGTTTTTGAGAAAATAAATTGTTTTAGAAGTATATAGTTTCGTCATGTTTAGTTTATAAAGGCATATTTTGGTACAAATCTTGAAGTGGGCCAACTGAAGGAGCTCGTACGAATGAGATATTATTTTATAGAAAAAATGCGTATTTCTTAAAAAATGGAGAAGTTAATATTTTTTAGTAAAAAAAAATTCCTATATGACTCTTTGTGACGCTGTTCTTGCTACGATCCTGATTTTTCACTCTTACCTGTCCTTGAATCTACCGAACTTCAACGACACTATCTACCGATTTCGTCTTCTTCGGTTCGGCAACAGTGTTTTATACACCTTAGGAAAAACCATTGTTATACATGGGAAATCATTTCTTGGCAACAGCGCATCGGCTCGTCTATTTTCATCGCTATTCGTACATATTTCCTACCGTTAACCGCAGACCTGTATCACGAATGAGAATAATAGGCAGATACGCTGTGTTGCCAGTTTGAGTAGAGCTTCCCGAATTGTGGGGAATTTAGAGTTAAGTGTTGATTCATTCAAGCTTTTAATCAGCATGGCCTAGACGTTAGAACTTCATAAAGATAACATTGAAGCTGAATGCTGCTGGAGTATAGTGTTTCGAATATTCAAAGCGGAGCGGGACACTATACTCGTTCAATGGGTCATCAAGCCACAGTCTTTTCAACAAAGAAATTATTTTACGAAAATGCGTTATATTTTTATGATTTTGTCGTCACCAAATCTCTGTTTCTCAAAATGTACGTCTATTGTAGAATTTTCAGCAAACTAAGCAAGAAACGTGATCTAGTATTTACTCAACATTACGGATTTCTCGAAATACATTAAAAAATGTGACCTAGATACCTAACTGCCCCAAGCTCTTTAAATATAACACCTTAAACCAGGGTTACCAGGTGCTCAGTCACGATGATTGTCATGTTGTACTGCGCAAGTCAGCAAACAATCTGGCGTAATAAACGTTAGGAATCATCAGGTATTGCCAGATTTCCGAATACCGGGCACCATAGTACCCGTTATAGTTGTCCTTCAAAGTTGTCAAATCGCCGCTATGGCGCAAATTCGCCACACCAGGCAACTGTGCTATAAACAAACCCTGTTTATCACTACTATTTGATAGTCATATGGTAGTTGTAGCCCTATCTAGCGGTCCATGATTTCTCTCAATACTGTTGTATCTCTACTGGCAACAAGAATAGGGATTACAAAATCATTTACGTATACAACAATATACAAACATGAAAAATGTGATTTGAACCATGAAACATTAATACAATTTTAATAGTTTGAACTTTTTTCATTTTTGGAATACTCTTATGTGGAATCCGCAGCTATTTTTCCCGAAATTTGGGTAGACTTAGATTTCTTAGAAATATGACATATTGGTATCGGCAACTCTGCGAATGAGAGAAACAAATCGCATTTGTTGAGTGCATCCGTCTAAGCGGTAGGCGCCAGCGCCCGTTCTGCCATCTCTCTCTTTTATCACTCTTCTAATTTACCCCGTTGTCCGTCACACTCCGACGCTGCCACATAGGATCCTACAATCGAGTGTCTTTCACGCACCTACATACTTTTGTATATTTCCATCTCTCTTCCTCATCATAATGTATAATAATGGTTTTTCCCAAGCTGTATAAAAAACTTTAAAGTC